CCAAAACAAACCTGAAGCTGAGCATGGGGGAATTCGGGGATCTGTCATCACAATATAGAATCAGTGACAGATTTGGAGAACAAAGACTAAGTAAGGCAGGATGCCTCAGCCACAACATTCCCATGACACTGGAGGACGCAAAGCAGTGACAGCCACTCTTCAGGCAGGGATCAGGGACAGACTCTGCCTGCACTGGGAGGGATTCCCTGGGTCTGCGGCCGAGGGTTCCTGCAAAGGCAAAGGGTCCCCAAAGGGCATCTGCAGTAGCCTCAGGCAGTGGCCCTCCACCTCACTCAGTGAGAATGTCTTAGGGACCCCAGAGTGTGGCCCTGGGTATCCCCTCCTCCTGGTCTCAACCGTTCTCTCGATACAGATACTATCCCTTCCAGAGACTTGGTCAAAAACTATCGCTACCTTCTACTTCCAACTCAGTCTCAGGAAGAGGGTGTTCTCGTCCCCGTGGGGTCCCTGAGTTTGAGGTAATGCCGACATACTGTATGCTGTACCACAGTAACATATGAAGGCAGGCAAGTCCACTTTAAAACTCCATCAATCTAAATTCAACATCAGCCAGCTTTTGTTACCTCAGTAATACTGTTTGGCGAGATACTTATGATGTGTGGGGTAAAGAAAAAAAATATTGCTAGAATGTGATAGAAATATTTTTAAAAGTTCAATGTTGAAACTCCTTAAGGGAAGGAAAAGGAGACATTTTACTTTTCCGCTGTCTATGTTCCTGTCCTTGGCTTCGAGGTCAAAGAGCACCAAGGTTCCTGTTAAGCTAGTTCAAGCTTCTCCCAGCCCCTCCCCTGCACAACAATCCTGGGGAATTCCTGAGCCGTCTGCTTCCCAAATTTGTAATCTTATCTCTGGGCATGTCTACACAGCTCTTTAATTCAGTTTCAAAATCCACAGTACTTTTTAAACAAAATGACATAGTTGCATTCTTTAAATGCCAGCTATGAAATCATCACTTAAAAAAAGGAAAGAAAGAAACTACTCAGATTATATATACGTAAGACAAATAAAATTCTCTCCCTTTTTAAGTGCTTTATTTGGTCTGCTGCAGACATGCGTATGGCTGCTTCCAAAGAAAAGCCCTTAGGAGGAGCTGCTGACAGCATTCCGCAGTTTGATATTTGTTCCAATGTTGTCAGGTTCTTAGACGACCCGTACATACGACTTGCTTCATGAAACCCCCCAAATGGGCACATTAGATACAGGGAAAAACCTTATCTATAATTCAGTGAATTTTTCTCACACCAAAATAACACTCTAACCTGTCCAAACATGCAACTTCTCCTTTTCTTCCCCATGAACTAAATTCCTTTCCTTAAAAATAGTCAGACTTGAGGATTGAGTGAAAATCTACCATATTTCAAGTTCAACTCTGAGGGTTCTTTACAACTGTAGCATGATTTCAAATTCACATTGTCATTCATTTTTCTGTATTTTCCTATATTTATCCTAAATAACCTTCCTGGACCCTTATATTTAGGGAGAAACTAAAAGGGTTTTATATGATACTGCAAAGTTCCTGTAAATGCTCAGTTTATCAGGGTTTACTCTGGAGCTCAATGTCAGACAACCTCTACATGACGCAAAGATACGGCAAGAAGTATTTCAAATACAAAACCCTTAGCTCTGTGTCATAAATAAATTTGGGTAAAATCGCAAGCTTCCGGAATCATCTCGGCAAAGATGGCCCATCTTCTCTGCAAGAAGCAACCTAGAAATCAAGAGGAAAAGCCACAATCATGTGTCTGTTCAGAAACACAAACTACAAGGTGTAATGAAGAGCAAGGACCTTACGTACCGTTCTTTGGCCAGGAGGACAGACATTCCTACGAGCTTGGCAAACTCTTCTGACGTTAGGGATCCCTTTTCTGAAACCTAACAGAAACACAGAGCAGAAAAATGTGATGGTGTGGACCGTCTAGGCGCCAACCTAAGGAGAGCGTCCACCAGTATACTCGGGAATAACGACTGAATTTCCTACTAAATGTAAGAATATCCACTACAGAACCACCTCTTCTTCACTAATGTTTAATTCTGCAAAAGCTGAAGGACCAGAACAAACAGAGAAGAGGTTAAAATATCACGAAGTGCATAGTAAAACAGTGCGGGAGTACAAAGGCACTGCGGTAAAGCTTAAAAAGAACTATTGGCTATTCTAAGAAGGAACATACGACAAATTCTAATTGAGTGCATATTACACGCTCCACTGAGGACCCTTATCTACAGATGTAGTTTAAAATATTGTGGTAGTCTTGGGATTTTCATCGAGCTTAAAATTAGAAGCATAATAAATATGAGTTATTCAAATTATACAGGCTCGCCGCAGAGGCTATGAAGGCAGTAATATTTCAAATATCCTAATGAGTAATATTAGCAGTTTGGCCAGCAAAAGCCATCTAAACTACAGTTGCTTTTCATATTTTTTGAAGCAATTATTTCACAAAACAACTTGTGATGTTTTATAATGCTGCTTATGTGGGTGTTACTGAAAGAAAAAGTTCAGTCATGGGTAACATTCTGATTAACAGAGTTAAGAACCTGTTCTCAACACTGGGCATCAAATGAAAAGAGAACGCCTCACTAATTCTATCTCCTTACTTACAAGACGTTACGAGTATCGGAAGTTTCAAAAAGCTTTCAAAGTATAATTTTGATTACTATTTATTCATTAATGATAAACTGTTTTTAATTGGTCTTCAAATGTTACTTTTTAGTAAAGTTAAACCCAAAAGGAAATCCTGTTTCTCGAGTTGCTAAGCATCGCGTCTTGGTAGCAAGCCCTAATAACCAGAGGAAGCCGGGTTCACATACTGTCTCCAAGGCTGAGGCCACCATTTCCTCTTCCTTGTGGGCCTGAAGCTCAATTACCATGACGCCGCTGTCGAAAACTCGGAGCCTACAAATCGCAGATGGGAGAACAAAGCCATGAATATCCGGGATTTTCAACCCCTGAGGAGGGCAAGTATTTCTTGATATCTTTTATGCCCAGGTATGAGGGGAAGAATAACACAAAATAACCTTTAAACACATAACGACCACAAGCAACCATGGCATAACTAAAAAGCTCATGAATAAACAGGTAATAAAATTATGAACTATAATCCAGAGGCTTTTCTATAATCCAGAAATACGTATGGCTACTTTTTTTTAACCTGAGGATAAGGAAAATATAATTCACAGCTCAATATTTGCACTTCTAAGCTTCCAGAAACTAACGCAAAATGTCTAGGGGAGGAGGCGCTGGTTACTCTGGCCTCATGGGAGGTGCCTACATTCTACTCTCACTGCCCTCAATCCACAGCCATCAGACTACTAGCACCCGCAGGCCACGCCCAGCCCTAAGGATGGAGGCCAGAATGACAGAGATGCTTGTGGGCCCAGTGAATTCTGTTACACGGAATGTAATTTCAAGAGGGGCGATATGGTGGCTGGCCCTGCAGGACGGCACCTGGCAGGGCTTGCCTGTCCACTCTGTGAGGAGTAGCGACTACAGCCAGCAAGGCCCCGCGGAGGACCTTTTACCTGAGAGGTAATTTCAGCGCTTCCAGCATCTTGCACGCATTCACTAAATCTTCTGGCGAGAGCAACTAATGGGGAAACAAATCCAGTTTACACTGAAAATTATAGAGTGATGCTATATAATTATAATGACCACTGAAACAGAAGAGCAAACTTAAAACATCATTTATCAAGGATTTTAGGTAGCTTAATCACTACAAGGCAAAAAGGATTAACAAAGAAGCAGACTTCTACTCATTAAAGCAGTGCTATCCAACAGAAACAAAATGCAAGTCATAAATGTAATTTTTAATTTTCTAGTAGCCACATTAAAAAATAAAAGGAAACAGGTGAAATTAGTTTTAATACGTACTTTTTATTTAACCCAATAGGTCCAAAAATTCAACACATTATCAATACAAAAATTACTAATGAGATATTTAAGAATTCTTTATTCTGTACTAAATCTTGTAAAGTCAATGTATAATTTACACTTACAGCACCTCTCAGTTTACATTAACTACACTTCAAGTTCGCAGTGGCCACACGTGGCTAGCTAGCGCTACCCTTCTGGACCACATGGCCTTAAAGACTCAGCCCATGTGGTGGCTGACAAGCACAGCTCTGAGTCACAAAGAATGGCTCCAGAGCCAGCCCAGCCTGGGTCCAAATAATTTGCCATGGTCAAATTATTTAATCTTTCTAAGCTTCAATTTCCTCTTCCCCAAATTATCCCCCAGACAGGGACAGTAAAAGTAGGCCCCTCACTGAGTTATTGGGAGGCTAGATGAGGGAACCTTGCAGAGTGCCTGGCGGATGGTGAACACTCACTGATGGCAGTTATGATGACTATTGAAATAAGAACAGAGCAGAGGCTTAGCTCATGGGGCGGGCTGAATGCTGGAGAGACAGGTGTGGGTCATTTGCATGGAGCTGACACCACAAAACTGATTTAGAGGGCACAAGGCGAGAACCCTGGAGGCCAAGGACATCTGGGTGTGAAGGGACAATGAGAGTTGAACAGCGGCTGCAGATTCAGAGCCAAAGAAGCGGGCAGCTTTTTCTGTATCATTTACAGGCAATTGGTATCCAACCCAGTTAATTCAAACAGGTAACTATCACAGAGAAGGGGCATCACACTCAACCTTATTAATCACAACAACACAAACACAGAACATTAGAGCTGAAAGGTATCTGTGCGTCCAAACCCTTATTTTAAAGGTAGAAAACCTGAGTCCAGAGAGGTTAAGTAAGCTACTCAAGGTCACTCAGCAAATCACTGTCAAAACCAGGAACAGAATCTACCTCCTAGACCCCAGGGCAGTATTCTATTCACTGCACCACACTGCTTCTCCAAATAGTTTTGATATTCACAACCCTTCCTCAAATTCTATTCACTATAGGGGAATTTGTACTATATTAAGAAAGTCTATAATTAGTTAAAAGAATATCTAAATATTCTATTCTTACTTCCATTCCTCGAGCTCGGTTTACTAAACAGTATACCTCTGTGAGTGACATTATTCCTCCTCATTCCTGTTAAAAATGAAACAAAAGAAGTATTACGTTACACTTAGCACCAGTTGGCATTTAACAGAAGTCACAATCAGAGTGAAATCAGAAATCATAAAATTTCTTAAGAAGCTTTTAGAAACTGTATTTACAAACAGGAAGACCTGTTCAGATACCCTGAGGCAATTCAAATTCAATACTTGGACTTGTCATTATTACTGTTTTAACATTTACTCAACGAAAAATGGGGCTCTCTTCTTTCATGTTTCAGAAAGTGTATTTAAATGTTTCAAGTTATTCCAACTAATAAATGAAAAAATCATAGAATTAAATAGGAATATCACCATTTTACAACCCCTAATAAAGTAACAGATCTCCATAATGACTACCAATGGCTGCCAACATCACAAAAAAAGACGCTCAGACGTTATGCACCTCCTGATGGAAATGCTGCTGACTGTGGCTGTGGTACTAAACCCATAGGAGATGCGGTGAGTGCTTCCGCTTTTGGACTAATGTGCGTTCATTCCTCCGTTTACATTTCCAGTTAGTCATTTTACCTACAACCCTCAAACTGCTGACGTGCACCGGCCTTATGCTCTCCTCCGGCACCATCACACCCTCATGCCGTCTGTTGCTGAGGTTGAGGCGTCATCAGCTGACCTGGGAAATCTTTTTGCAATGGCAGCTTTTGGTTAAAAATTTATCCTGGGTTTTCATCTGTGGCAGTTATATGCTCCACTGCTCCAGGTTGGATTTGGTAGGCATAGCCTCAGAACCTAGTTTTATTTAAAGCTTAGCGGCAAATACACTAAAGTATTAATAGTGTATGTTTTTGGGTGATGGACTATAGGTAATTTTTTCCTCCTCCATGGTTTTTGGTTTTGTTTTGTGTGTCACTGTGTTTCTTGTTCTGGCTGCTGTAACAAAATACCATTGACTGGGTGGCTTAAACAACACACATTTGTTACTCATACTTCTAGACCCTGGGAAGTCCAGGATCAAGGTGCTGGCTGGTTCCGTGTCTAGGGGAGGGCCCTCTTCCTGTGTTTGCAGAGGGACCACTTTGCTGTGTCCTCACATGGCAGAGAGCGAGCACAGCCTAGCTCTCTGGTCTCTTATAAGGGCGCTAATCCTTCATGAGGACTCCACCCTCGTGACCTCATCTAAACCTAATTACCTCCTACAGGACCCTCCCCCCCAAAATGCCATCACATTGGGTTAAAGGGTTCAACAAAGGAATCGGTGGGGGGCCCAACATTCAGTCCATAGCGTTGTGACTGATAAAGGAGCATGGATCCTGCAGTCAGGCAGACCTGGGTTCAATCCATCATTGCCACTTAGCAGCTGTGTGACTTTGGCACAACACGTATCATGTCTAAGTGTCGTTCTTTTCCGTGTGGAGTTGGGGTCTTGCTGTCGCCTCACCGAGTTGCAGATCCTTCAATGAAACAGCACGTGCACGTTCCTGGTGGGCACTCAGGAAGTGTTTCTCTCCCTTCATCTGC